TTAGTGAAGTATTCCTCCTTGAATTGCAAAACATGTAAGCGATGAGCTGCACCCTAGCCACTAGGTAAGGCATTTTGCAGACCTACCAGCACAAACAGGTTCAGAAATAAGATGCGCTCATACAGGAATTTGCACTCACGGAAACGTGTGTCTGATTAATTTGACTGGTTTTATGCTAACTTCTTTACAGAGGGCTTCACACCAGACGAAGGAATGTCCAGCGTGATTTGCCTTTACCTGTGAGAATCCCGACGACTATCAGGGTTCCTGTCCCTGCCGCAGGTCGGCAGCGTGGGGAACAGCTTTCTGCAGTCACCTTACGTCTCTACACCGAGATTCAAATAAGCCATGAACACCGATCCGTTGTGAGTATGCATGATTTCCCTTTGTAGCTGAAAACTACACTAGCAGAACTGAAAAGGTTACCCCAAATCTCCATCCAAGCCAAGCAGTTTCCTGTAGTGACTTGTAAATGCCAGGCATGGAGTTTGATGGAAATACAACAATGACGCTGCAAAAAAACATGAACACAACCCCACGACTTCACCCTAACACCCAAAGTGATGCTTTCAGAAACTGCGTCTTCTTCCCTGCAAGCAGCCGTACCCATCTGACTAGTCAACCCATTGAGCCAATGTAGCTCCAAATGGACACGGGCCTGTACACGTATTTTCAGAGGTGTGTACACACAACGTGCATGCCTTCTTTTGGGGTCCGGGGTCAAAGGCCATTTTGCCACTCAGAGGAATTCTGACTGGAACCATACTGGAAGAGTCGGTTGCAGGGCATTACAGTATTTGTCACTCTCCCATACCTACCTTTGCTAAAGTAAAGCTCCTTCACTTGCAAAAACCCGGTAGATCACCAGCCATCAGGTGAGACATCTCACAGCCCTAAAAATGGAAGGTTTTATAAACCAGGTGTATGAAATGATGCCACTTCAGACAATTTCAGCTGCAGGTAGCAAGTGCTCTTGTAAAATTTCCCCAGGATCTAGTAAAAATCCTCCAGGACAGGATATTCTCTTTTTTGATGGGAAGCGATGTGGCTGAAGCTCTCCCTTTTAAATATATTCTGCAAAAATGTGTTGATTACTTCAAAAAATGCCTGTGTCATACCCTGGAATCTAAGCAGAAGGCAGAGCTGGCAAGCAAAGCCTCGCCGGAGAATGTTCAGAGCGCCCCACCAGCTGTACCACTCACTTTGAAGAGTACTAAAAGTTGGGAAACTATTTGTCAAAGCCCAAGAAATGCGGCCCTCTTCCGATTACACTTGATCTAGAGGTAGCTGCACCTGCAATGAAAGGAAAACCCCCTGCAAAAAGGAGAAAGGGGCTGAAGATGTGGCTCGACAACTGCATGAATCGCCTGCCACAGCTCTTGTTTAGTGGGGAACCTCCATCAGTGCTGAAGTGGCAACTACAGGACTCACAACAAAGCGAGAGGTATAGGAAGCTGGAATCAAAACAACACGCAATGGATCTGTCTCTTTTAGGAGAAGGGTGGAATGGAAAGAAAGGTGGCATGACTTGAAAGCAGACGATGGATGACTAGGACGGGAGGTGGTGGGTCTCGTGTACTGAAGCAATGGAACTTCTTGCTGCCCAGTTTTGTGCATACCAAGCTTTTTGAATGTTCAGAACCAAGGGGTCCAAGCCCCTGGAAGAAAAGCACGTCAGAGAAGGGAACAAACCTCAAGACACAGTCGGGAAGTCTCGGAGCTGCCAGCTGCCAGGTGAGTGTGCTGCAGCAATATCACCGTTTGCTTGCCTTTGTCTTATGCTTTGTCCTATGTATTTTCTACTGGCCACCATCACTGGCTCATTTCTAGCATCTTCAGTCCTCATCTTAGTGAAGTATTCCTCCTTGAATTGCAAAACATGTAAGCGATGAGCTGCACCCTAGCCACTAGGTAAGGCATTTTGCAGACCTACCAGCACAAACAGGTTCAGAAATAAGATGCGCTCATACAGGAATTTGCACTCACGGAAACGTGTGTCTGATTAATTTGACTGGTTTTATGCTAATTTCCTTACAGAGGAATTTACACCAAACTTAACTTCATCATTATTCCAGCTATAAGGTGCCATACAGTCTCAAAACCTGATTGGTTTTCAGATTTTTACCAAATGGATATATTTAAAATTATACAAATTGTTTCACATCTGACCTCTCATATTTTAATACCTAGGGTCATATTCTGTCAAGGAAGGAGCCCCAAGAATTTCATCAAGGGTATGCACAACATTCTTCAGCTGGGGAAGGACACTGGCAGACACCAGCACATGCCTTGGTCTGCCCAGCTGGAAAGGTACTTTGCAGAAAATGCCCTGGAGGTCATGGTTATCACCAAGATGATCATGGGCCAACATCTCCCCTTGCCGCAAGGAACACTAACGGTGTCCTGGTCTGCATTAGGAGGAGCTCTTCCAGCAGGTCGAGGGAGGTGATCCTTGCCTTCTACTTGTCACTGGTGATGCCACCCCTGAAATACTGTGTCTGGTTCTGGACTCCCCAGTACAAGAGACAAATGATTATATTGGAGAGATTCCTGCAGATGGCCATGAAGATGATTAAGGCACTGGAGCATCTCTCCTCTAAGGAAATGCTGTGCAAGCTGGGACTGTTTAGCTTGGTGAAGAGAAGGCTCCAGGGTGGATCTGATCAATATACAGAAAGGCCTGAAGGAAGGCTGCAAAGAACATGGAGCCAGACTCTTTCCGGTGGTGCCCAGTGATAGGAGAAGGGATATTGAAGAGCAGTCTGGACATGATCCTGAGTAAGCAGCTCTAGCTTTCTCTGCTGGATCTGGCAGCCTTGTCAAGATGACAATCAGCAGGCCCTTCCAATCTCAACCCTTCTGTGATTGTGTGAAAATACTTGAGTTGTGTAAATAATTATTCTAATAACTTCATTTTGTTTATATAAAGTAAACAAAGGGAAGTAGTACCCTGACATTTTCCACCCAGGGGTGTTCAGAGAGCTGGCCAATGTCACTTTGAGGCCACCCTCCATAATCTTTGAGAAGTCCAGGAGACCGGGGTACGTCCCAGAAGTCTGGAAGAAGTCTAATGTCACCTTCACCTTCAAGAAGAGCTTAAAGGACGATCCAGGAAATTATAGGCCCACCAGTTTTACTTCAATCCCTGGGAAAGTTATGGAATGAATCCTTCTGGGAGCTATCATGAGTCAAATGAAGCACGTGAGTGGGAAAAGCCAGCATGGATTCACCAAAGGAAAACTGTGCTTGACAAACCTGATCGCCTTCTACAACAAAGGAACCTGCTCGGTTGATGTGGGGTGAGCAGCAGGCACTGTCTACCTGGATTTCAGCAAAGCTTTCAATACAGTTCCCCCCAGCCTCCTCCTAGAGGAACTGGTGCGTTATGGTCTGGACAAGTGGTCTGTGCGGTGGGTGGGGAACTGGCTGCCAGGCTGCACCCAGAGGGTGGTGGGAAATAGCTCTTCTTCAAAGTGGCAACCTGTCACAGGTGGGATGCCCCAGTGATCACTGTTGAGCCCAACACTGTTTCATATCTTTGTAAGTGATCTGGGTGATGGGGTCAGGAGTGCCCTGATGAAGTTCCCTGACAATACCAAACTGAGTGGGGAAGCCGACACTTTGGAAGGGAAAGCACCCTGCAGGAAGACCTGGATTGGCTGGAAGAGTGGGCTAACAAGAGCCTTATGAAGTTCAACAAGGACAAGGGTAAGGTCTTGCACTTGGGAAAACTTAATCTCAGAGTGCAGCACAGGCTGGGATCTACCCAGCTGGGGAGCAGCTCTGTGGGAAGAGACCAGGGGATCCTGGTGGACAAGAAGCTCAGTATGAGTGAACAGTGTGCTGCAGCAGCAAAGAAAGCCAACAGGGTGCTGGGTTGCATCAACAAGGGCATCACCAGCAAAGATAATGAAGTCATTATGCCACCCTACCCTGTGTTTGTCAGGCCACCCCTGGAATACTGTGTTCAGTTTTGGTCCCCACTGTACAAACAACATGTAGACAGGCTGCAGAGGGTCCAGAGGAAAGCCACAAAGGTGATCAGTCAGGATGATAGTCCAGTCATTCCATAAAGTGCCAGTGTACCATATGACCAGCCCAGAATTATGTCCTTCAAACTGAGTAAATAAAATAAAAAATTTAGTATGTTAGTAGAACAAAGTCTGTAAGCTTAAATAATATCTTCTATTCCAATTAAATACTGTAATATATTAATTATACAGTAAAATAAATTGCATGAAATAATGGCCTACAGATTTTCTAAAAACTAAATACCATAGTTATGCCTCAGAAAATGTTCATGCATATATGAAAGATATTTCTTATAAAAAGTTAAAAAATACACAAACAGGAATGCAGATAATCTATATGTATTTAGTCAACCTTTTCCAAAAGGTATTCAGTTTGTAATTTTGAGTTTCAGAAATTAAATGCTTGGTCCATATGATTTCAATTGTTAGCCAGCAGTGTATACACCTTCCTGTCTTTATGTAATCTTACCTACTTCTTCAACCAATTAGGCAGCCAGTGACATCTATCATAGTGGGTTTTTTCAGCTTTTACATTCTATAACAAGAATGTCCTCTGAAGTTTGTATGACCAAGCTTAAGAAACGTGTTAATCAGAAAATATTATTCAACCTAATAAGGCTTTTGTACCTACTGCAGAGAATATATGACAATGTGAGATAAATGCTATGGATGTGTTTGCTGTATACTGAATGTACTGTATTTACAAGCGCACAGAAACAGCATTAAGCTGCTTCTATTACCCTGAAATACTTATTTCAACAGATTAGTCCTTTGGTATAACTCTATGTCTTGCTGCTTATCGTCCTCTTAAGCATATATTAGCAGACATTAATTGACTTATTTCTCTCTTACTAATTAACTCTCAATACAGTCAGCAAACACACTGTGTTCCAAGGTACAAGGTCAGATTCCCTTTCGCTCACATGCCTGAAGGTAGCTGCAAAGCTGAGGAACTACGGAACAGCAGACCTGGGACATCCCGGAGACAGAAAGGAGTCTTCAGCTGGATGTCTAGCCACGCAGTCACCAGTGAAACACTACAGGTGTGAAGCTTCAAGAGAACATCTGCTTGGATAAAATGAACATATTCAGATTACCCATGCAACCCTCCTATGAGCGATACACAGAAGCAGAAAGGATCTAAATGAATACAGGACACCAGTTAAAAAATAAAATCAAAAAGTTGTTAAGAAAATATTTGATTGCTTATCATTCAGATGCTGGAAATAGCACTGGCCATAAACTTAGCTAAATTATAATCTTTGCATTTCTTTTATAGATATTATTTACACAACACAATGTCCGCTATATGTATCTGAAGTCAGAATAGACTAATTCTTTTATTTGCTTGCATGTCACTTTTCTGAAGTTGTTTTCTCCGTCTCTGTGACTCAATCAGATATACATCTTAATCTATTCTTATTAATTAAACAGCACAGTGAGCTTCAAAACTGAACTTTTGCTGTCTATTGGTTAGACTGCTTTCAGAAAAGGTAGCATGTTGTTTTACTGGAAAAGCTGGCAGATTACTTGGAAAATAAATATGCACTTGAATGCTTAGTGAATGTTTGGCCTCACTGTATTTGGAAACCCTTTTTGTCATTATTCATGTCCTTGCCTAAATACTGAAAAATAGCGTATTGTGCATTTCGATACCATTGACTACTTCCTTAGTCTTTTGTGTGTTACTTCAGGCTTAAGCTCTAAATACCCAGAGATACTTAAGAATCTCAGTTTTCATTAAAAATAAATGTTTTCAATCTTTGTGATTGCAGAGGTAAAGCTGAAAAGAAACAAAGAGGAACAAAGCAGACAGAGTCAGTAAACAAAACTCTGCATTTCCCTGCTTTTGACTCTATAACACAAAAAGACCCCATCAAAACAAAACTATTGAGTTTGGTGACCAGTTTTCTTGAATTCAATAGCAATTTTGTATTTCCAAATTTTAAAGCAACGGCTATGCAGCAACTGTTAAAAACATTAAGATCATTAAAAGGCTATTAAAAGGCTTTTTCCATCTTCAAAATATATTTTCTTCCCACAGAAGAAATTTGGACAACTAGATGGATTATTATTTGAAGTCTGAATGAGACATATTCTACATTTTTCCTGCCATTTCCTTTGTTTAACTTATATTTAATTTTTCTGCATTATAAAAACTACTTTGCTCAAACAACTCTAAAATAAAAGATTGGTGGGCCTTCCCATGCACATTCAAGTGAAAGGGTGAACCTACATTAATCGTGAAACAACTCTCAAGACCAAATTTGTTTCATGTAGCTTGCTTTAGTCTTTTGTCTGTTTTATTCTACTACGAGTTCTCACTTATACACCATGGCACTAAGAGTGCTATAGCCAGCCTATTATTTATTGAGTTTACTTCTGATCTTGCCTAAAAGAAACCTAGGGCTGAGCCTAGTATAATGTCACCATCACTTTTACTTATTTGCTCTTAAGATTATGTCCATGTGTTTACTGGTTCACTTTCAGAGCTAAATTGGCTGTCTGGAGCTATAGTGAATCTTGAATGCTGGTACACGTGTCAAATTAAAATGAGTAAATGTCCCAAGTCACAGCTGAGGAGAACTGAATAGCCATGAAAGTCGTAAGGTCTTCTGTTAGTGCTCTTGGCCAGTAAATAACAACAACCTGAGAAAGCCAGAAAGTTGATGAGAGAGCCACATGACATGAAACACAAGGTATTTTAATGGCACATCTATTGTAACAGTAAATTTGTGGCTACTTTCATTTTTTTTAGTATATAAAAGAAAAAAAAAAAATGGCCTGATATGTGACATGACATAATAAAGAAGAATAATTGGCAGACTGAAGGATAAGAACATCCCTTTACAAATTAGAGAGTTCAGAAAGTGATAGGTTTAAAAATTTTGTTTATAACTTTACAATGTCATGCATTACGTACTTTAACTTGGTTTATATGATTGTATGAAATTAATGCCACAATGCTTTCATTTTTGGGCTACTCTTTTACTCATACAACATTATGCACGCATTACGGTACATACAAGATCTTCCTTGTTGCAAAGAATCCATAAGCTAGTATATTCACTGAATATTGTTGAGAATGTAAACAGGCTTGATGAACATACCAGAAGTACATCTTGTCAGTAAAATATTTCTAAACTATGGAGTAGAGGTCACATCATTTAGAAAAGCTTCCCAGATTGCTGAAGTTTTCCTGAATCCTAGATTGTCACATAAGATCTTTCAAATATTTGTAATAATCATGGATGAAACTTTAAAAAGGAGACTGGGCAATGTTACACATAGCAAGTTGTAGAGATATTGCATGAACTTTACAGGTTCTCCTCTATGATCATTTGAAAATATGGCAATTAATGGTTGTCTGAGATATATTAACGAAGTTAATAACTGTTATGCTATAAAGGGTTTTTTCTAAGCCTTAGTATGTGCTTGTTCATGATTTGAGACTTCAGGTTACTACTGCAAATAATGAAAATCATGTAAGTAATGCAAAGTTATTAATCACCATTTATGGCAAATGCCAGAAAAATCCTAAGGTAACAACTGGCTATTTCAGAAAATGCAGAAGGTTCACAGTATTTTTACTGAAATTTGTGTTTGTTCATCAGACTGTTCAAACCTGTGAGGATTAGATGATGGTCTCAAATTCTACTGAACCAAAATATAACTCAGGCAGAAAAGAAGAATGTATTTGGTGCAGCATGCAGATGCATGATACTTAACATGCTTTCATAATATATATGATACTGTATGATTTAACTGTTTCCATCTTTTTTTAGGATTTGCTATACTATAAACAATATAGTACTTTATAGTACTATAAATAATCTAGACAAAATCTTGACTCCAAGTTAAAAAAAAACAAAACAGTGTCAAATTGTTTCTTGAGCTTATATCTTCTTTTATTTGTTCTTTGGATGCTTTTTAGATTTCTAAATTGCCATCTTGTATTTAATTGTCAATGTCTCTGTCATTCTAATGTCATCCTGGCCATGTTCTTTACTCTGAATGAACTCCTCTGTCCTTATAAACTGCACAATCTTTTTTAGTCTTTGCTCCCTTTTCCTTCTTTATGTTGTCCTGGGCTTTTGTATTCTAGTAAACTCAAATATGGTATTTTTAAAATTACCTTATTAACTTCTAGTCTCTGTCTTATACCTCATTATTAATTATATTGATGTATTATATTGTATTTTATATCTCTGAAATAGTTAATCTATTATTTCCCTCCAAGCATGGTATGCACGTGGCTTTTGACAGTTGCTGGAGGACTAGTGCTGCTGTATGTCTCTCTGAAGATCTTTTTCCCATATTTCTGGGAAGATCTGATCTACTTCTTGAGGAGGAAGAGGTTAAAAGCAATGGTAAACAAACGGGCAAGCAATGGAATCCTCTCCATAATTGACCTTTTCATGCAGTTAGTGGGAAAGATTCCCCACAAGCCGTTCCTCATCTACGAAGGGAAGGTGCACACCTACCAGGATGTGGACAGGAGGAGTAACAGGGTGGCACAGGTCTTCCTACACTACGGTAACCTCAAAAAAGGTGATACTGTGGCCCTGCTCATGGGTAATGGACCTGACTTCATCCATGTCTGGTTTGGGCTGTCCAAGCTGGGCTGCGTGGTGGCTTTTCTCAACTTCAATGTCCACTCTAGATCTCTCCTGCACTGTATTAATACATGTGCAGCAAAAGCACTGGTGATAGGGGAAGGTAAGTTCTATACTGTATTTGACTTACTACTGACTTTCTACTGCTTTATGCCTTCTACCAAAAACAGAAAATCAGAGCCATTCCAAGATGCGAGCAATTCATATATACATACACATATGTTAGTTAAAAAAAGAGGGGAAAGAGATAGCTTCCTTTAAATTTCTAGCGTATAAGCACCAAAAATATGTGGAATTAAATAGTATAATAACAGGCATAAATCTGAAACTCTCCAAGTACTGGACAATGTACCAGCAGAAACAATCATGCATCAGCATGTGAACAGCCTGGGGAGATACTTCAGCATCATCTCACTTCCATTTCTATTTGCCAGCCTCTGTTGATACAATGCCACTGACAACAGTAAGGCTCAGATTCCCTTTGTTAGTGGTGATTTCCTTCAGCTCAAAATTTTCACATACAAATGTATGGTTACTTTAGAAGTACTCTAAAGTGATGGTCCCAAGGTAGCATTGTTTGGAGCAGAGAGTACAGCAAGTCAAGCTGTAATTTTGGCCCTCTTACTGGCACATTATGTAATATTGGGCAATTTATTTAACCTTTCTACTCCTCTTTTCCCATATTTAATACAGGTTGGCAGTACTTTCATAATTCTGTATGAACCCATGAGGGCTCATTAGTCGGTATGTGTACCAAGCTTTAAAACAAGTAACATACTGATTAAATTAAATCCCATATATTAGCGTCACCAAGTAAGATCAGGGGGTTTTACCTATTCCGATTAAAGCCACATGAGAATTATAGGGAAGTTAATTGTCAAGATTTTTTTTTCTCTGTCCCAACAGGTGGGTTAGTCCTGCTGCGGGCTGTGGTAGGTTCACTGTACACAGTGGTAGGGTATATAATTCCATTGCAGGTAAATCAGGTTGTGATTATTTTAATAATAAGCATATAATTTTTTTGACTTGGCAGATTGTTTGGGATCAGTAGAAAAAGAATTTATTTTTCATCTCTTGGAAAATAATGTTGCTGTCTGGCTGATGAGCACCAGTTCTCCTTTCCAGCATGTTCACACTATACCAGACAAACTAGACAAGGTACCAGATCACCCTGTTCCATCTCACCTTAAAGTTGTCACTAACAGAAGAAACACAGCTCTGTATATCTTCACATCAGGAAGCACAGGTGAGGAAGTGTACTAACAAAGTACAACTGCAGCTCTCTGAAAATTAAGGTGGTATACATTTAGCAACAAGACAGGCACCCAGAAAGACAGAAATTGATTTTTTAAACCAAGATAGGGAAGAATTCATTTAGTTAAAAGCATAGTACAATTTAAACCATTTTTGCCTTGGCACAACAAGGGTGTAATTCCAGTTAATGAAATTTCACATAGCTATTCTATGGCTGAACTTTATTTCTCAAATGTAAGACCAAGAAAGTCAGTCTCTAACAGCTGCTCAGATTCTATAGTGATAGAATTTCACAGGTCTATACTGATAAGAAATATAGCCAGCACAAGTGCTTGGGCCTTGGGAGAAAACTCTTCTGAGACTGGCCTGAATAATGAAGCTTCACCTTCTTTCTCTGGGAAGGAAAGGAGAATCCTTCATCTAGTCAAGCCAGACAACTTTGTAAAAGTTACTCCTATTGCAAATAGCAGATGAGTAGCACAGTGGCTCTTCAGAAACTTTCCCATTCTCACTTTGTGGTGACGGTACACTGTCTGCACAGTCAGTCTGCACTTGTCTGTGAAGGGTATGGACTTTCTCCTACAAACAAAGCAGACAAGAGGATTAGACAGCCTTAGAGTTAAAAAGGCTGAAGAAGCTAAGAGACGAAGCAGATATAATCATGAGGCAAAGACTGAAGGTCAGAACAGACAAAAACTCAGAAGAAAAGACGATTCTCTCTGTACATTCCCAACAGAATTCTCTTTGTAGCAAAATTATTAATGCAAGCAGTACATTTACAAATATTTGATTCTCTCCCTTTGACAGGTTTCCCAAAAGCTGCTATAATCACTCATCTAATAGTTCTATCAGCCTGCTTAGGATTTACTCAGTGTGGTGCATTTTCTCAGGATATTATCTATCTCACTCTTCCCTTGTATCACATCAGTGCTTCTCTTCTTGGCATCACTGGATGCATTGAATTAGGTAATATCTACCTTCTAGTGAAATTTCATTAATTTGAGAAGGCTGTAAGATTTTATTATTTGTTGAGTAACTCCATTTGGTGAGTAGATCCATTTGGTGAGTAACTCAAATATTACATCTACCAATAGGCTTTTGTAATTTTTCTCATTTTTATCACCTTCCCCAGTCTGCAAACAATATCAAGATACATGCATAGTTTTTGAAGCTTAGAACAGACACCAGTTGTTGCACAGATCCAACATAACATGGCTTGAGGTCTGTGTATCACTAATACCACTGAATATGTTCTGTAGTTTAAGTGGAAATCGTATTTACATACTACACAAAACGTCTAAAAGGGTATTCACACTTGCATCTGAGAAATCAGGCTTGGTTTTTAGTGTCAGATGGTAACAAATGCATTGTGGAAGCTTTAACTAACCTTCAGAATAAGGTCAACTAAATGTGTTTTGGAGGTTTTTGAGTCACATATTTTAGTAACAACCATAAAATTAGAGTAATGTTATTAAAGTGAAGGAAAGGAAGAAAGATGGAGCTTCCCCTTTTAATTCTGATAATAGGACTTATTTGTAGAGGGCTAGCAATCAGATATTTTTTCAGATATGTCCTCCTTTCCTGTCCTTAAAATCTTGCCCAGTTGCTGTTTTTTTAGTATGGTAAGCATATATCTGACCTGTTATAAAAGACATTTCAGTGCTTTGTTTCTTCAGGAACAGCATGGACAGACAACTACAGCAAATAATAACAAGACTGATACTAACAGAAACACAAAAGGAGCGGGGAAAGTAGTGTATAGAAACATTTGAAGCTATGATTTGTCTTGGAACAGAAAAAGTATGGTAACAGCAGCTTTCTTACACGGGCCATTCAGATGGGGATACTGGGGGGCCTGGGATTCCAATTACAAGGCTTTGAGAGGAGTAAGAGTGAAGAGCTCAGAGAGGGCTTCAAGTATTGCATGAGATGGTAACTGTCATGGAGGAACTGGCAAGCTAGGAGCAAGTGGACTAGAAGGGATTCAGAACTTAAAAGGCACTGAAAAGCTTTATGTGAGACAAAGAGGACAGAGGCAAAAAGGAATTCTGGAGAGGACAAAAATAGGGAAATTTGCAAATTCTCAGCTGATAACACTTAGAAAAAACTGAAAAGGGACTGGGTAGTAGACATGAGAGGTCTAGGATGAGATGGCTTTTGGAATGGAAAGCTCTGAAGGAACTTCAGGGCCACAGAAACAAAAAATTGAGGATGATGAGTTGCCAAGAAACAGGAAAAGGGGAGACAGAAACAACAGAGGCTGAGCCGGTTTCCATTTCAGAACTTCTCATACAAATAGAGAAGCTGTGAGCTACATTCTCCCCCACTTCAAGCTTCCTTTTTTTAGAGTTACACCTGTCACGACCTTGAAAGAAACAAAACGGTTAGGCTGTGACTTACTCCTTAACAACTGGAGATGACTGAAAGGTTCGCTTCTACTGCTTCTTATGTAGTTTTTAGTTACTAGTCAGAAAAAGAAGCAAGGCTCCATTGTGCTAGTTAACTTTTAACAGAACGATCTTGTGGGAAACAGCTTACAATTTGTTTAAATAGCTGAATTTATCGTTAGTTGAATTAAGAGAATGACAACTTTTTTTTAAACGATAATAGTAGAAGAAAAAATATATTTTAAAATTTATTTGAATTTTCTTGTCTGTTTTCATCACTTAGGAGCAACTTGTGTTTTGAAGAAGAAATTTTCTGCAAGCCAGTTTTGGAATGACTGTAGGAAATACAATGTTACAGTGTTTCTGTACATAGGAGAACTCTGTCCTTACCTCTGTAACCAGCCCAGTGTAAGTTCTTGTTTGCAAATGCAGCTTTAAAATATAGCAAACATATATTTTATAAGTCATATAGATTTACACGTTTCTCAATAGTATACTGTTTTTAATGTTTGATAGGTTTTTTCCAGTGTACACAAAATTTGGGTCTTGTGTTCCTTGTAGTTGTATGATAGCAATCGAGTTTATATCAGCAAACTTAGTGGTTACACAGAAACAAGTCTGGCAGGATGGGACAGTTATGCCCAGACACTAATGTAAATTCCTTTCGAAAGCTGAGCTTGTTAGCTTTTCATCTGAGTGACAGACAAGTAGCAGGTCAGTAAGGAAAAGACAGAAGCAGTTAGAGTTTTATCAGACTCAATGATCAAACAACAGCATCATCCAGATTAAATTATTAACTACTTGCACTGCACTGTTCCAAAGTAGTTACTTATTAAGAGAAGGATATTCTATTCAGTATTCAATAGCTGATAATTAATTTTTGTATGGCTTTGAAACTGCTGAATGAGTTTCCGTTTGTTTAAATTTTTTTCTGAAGAGGCATTCCAAAGGCACATTTGGTTCCACGGCTGTGGATGTGATGATAAACTTAAATGTATAAAGCCACAGAATTAATAGTGTGGTGCAAAACCTTGGTCACCCCTGGGATAACAGTCCTAAAGAACATGGAAGCTAAATCATGATCAGATTTAGGACAAAAGTAAGATGTCACCAAACACAGCAGCAGCAAATGAGCAAGTCTGAAAATACTTATTATATTGCAACGCCTATTTCTCAGTGATGGTGGAAAAGATTGGTTAATTTTCTTAATTTTATACTTGGGAGTTAGAAAGTTACTGAAGGGAGGTGACAAGTATTCCTACCTACCACAGAAAGCATCATGTACAAGCACATGGTTCAAATGATCTCCTACTGCACTGGTGTGAGAATGCCGCAGGAACTAGCAACAAGGGAATATTTGAGAGAAACCACCAGCTGATTTGAACAGAGACTTATCATTGTGTGGTCCGGATGTAGGAGAGAGGTTAAAGACAAAAAGGTTTTAAAGGGAACAAGCCAGGAAAGCTGCTGGCCAGAACTCAAGTCTCTACAAACATTATGTCAGTAGCCCATGGATCAAAAAAACAAAGGAATAATTAGCTAGGCCAAACTAGTTGCATAAAGCTGTCTCCTGAAGGAAAAGGCAGGGAGAACTTTCTTTACTTGGTTCAGTAACAAGAATTTAACAGAGAAGATATTGATATTTAACTGGCAACTGGCAAGTAGAGGGAAAAACAGAAGGAAGGCCTAGATGAGTTGAGGAAGCTGAAGATGCCACCAGAAGTGGATCGGGGTAAATCCAGAGTCCTGTCAAGATCAGATATCTCAACAAAGTATAATACATATAACCTCTAGTGTACCACATGGGTTCTTTCATAGTGAAATAAACGTGTGCAGGCTAGTAAGTCAGCCAGCTGTATTTCACCTAGACTCCTTGTGCTGTGGCATGACACAGCACAGCAGTCCTGGTGTTGCCCAGGAGTAGGACTACCTAAATGAAGGACCCATTGAAGTATGCTCTAGGTCATATCCAGGATGTTTGTCCTTACCTCTTTTCACGGAGCATGTCTAGGTCTCACACTGAAATTGAGAAAGAACATGGATTTGGGAACTAGGAGGCACTCTTGGATTTCTTGATGTAGACAGAGATTCTAGACACTACTCTCTGACTAAATATGTCTACAGGAAGCTTACCCATCACCCATGTACCTATGAAAATTAAATTTTAAACACGGTACTCCACAGTAAGTAACAAACAAAACAGAATGTATGTTGAATTTTTTAAAAGAAAACCATAAATAAAGACATTTTAAAATTCAAGGTAATGCAGAGAAGTCCTGCAGATTGTTAAACTAGGTATGAAACAAGATAAGCATAACATTTCTCCTGTTCTGAAGCTCCTGAGATTTCCTCTAAATCCTAGAATCTTACCAGCCATTTTGAAAACCAAAACAAAACGAAACAAAACAAAACAAAATCCATTACTTCATCCTGAAGACCAAGTGCTGAAGAAAGGACAATATTAGGCATGAAGTAACCCTCCCACTCAGCCTGCCAACTGGTTCATAATTGGGTTTGATCACATACATGTAACTGATCAAACTACACTATTCCTTCAGGTTTACCATTAAAACTGCAAAATAAAACAGAGCTCATTAAGCAGAAGCAGGGAAGTCTCTACTCCTGTTTTTAACAAGTGGAGT